ATATATACGTATGTATGCATGTGTCTTTTATTTATATATGCGTGTGCGCGTGCACATATACGTAAATATGTATATATAGAATATTTAATCAAAACATCTAAAATACTAAATACATATTGTGAATATGTCTATCTATCTAACATCTCGATAGTATTGTAACACATCGAGAGTAATCCGAGAATATCGTAAATACCATTCGTCGAGGCGGCACGTGCATCCTTAGAAACGACAGTTCTATATTAAGAACATTTCCTATAATAAATCTTTTTTTAAATTTTTCCTAATTCGATCAAAGAACCCGCAATAATAATAATCGAATATTGTAAATGGTCAGTCTAAGCGAAATGTCATCGCTGGTCAAGCAATAAAGGAAACCAATACTTAGGTCTTCCCAAGATTTACGAGTAGAATTTTCAGTGAGGTCCATGCCGAATGAGAGTTAAGGATCGTAAAAGTTTCAAGATCAGAAGAGAATATGAAAGATTCTTTTCAGTTCTTTCAGTGTAACCGCAAATCGTTTTTCTCTAATTAACTTTCTGAGAATGATGATAGGTTCACTTGAACACATAAAATATGTAGTAAAAAATTTGTGGTTTAAATTTCTCATCTTCCGAGATATTCTTTGAGTTTTATCATTAACCAGAAACGAAAAATAAAACATAATATAGAAAAGCATGAAATTAGTTTTTTTTTTTTTCAAAATGACAGCCTCAAAAAGAACGTTTATTTATATCAGCATGCATTAATTATCTTATTAATCAAATTAAAATAAATACCCAACTTATATTTATCAAAACTGCTGGCAGCACAAAGCAATACTTTTTGTTTAATTAAATTACTGTGAAGCAATATTACAATTTCGTGGACCATGTAACTACTTGTATTAATAATGACGACCGATGCGTTATTAAAAGCTCATTTTCAATGTGTCAAAATGCAAGCTCGTAAAGAAACTTAACAACCCCTATATATTCGTCATAATCATCCCGGAGAGCATAATACCTTCACGACTTTCCGTATTATCGAGTATACCACTTTATCATTATCACCGGTTACGATACCACGAGGATGTGCTTGTGTTAACTTCGATAGTTAACCCATACACACATATGTGTTGTAAATTAATTAACGCGTTTTTGTGACTGGTCCCGACTGCATCTCAAGGTGAGCATAAGTACAAAAGATAAACAGAACTCTCGGCAATCTCAAAAGATGATAAATTATCCTTGTCCTTATTTTTCAAGTTATTTTTTAAAACTACTTGTACAGCATGTTTGCAATAGTCTCATATAGTATAGAAGCTTGCAAACATCATTGCTGCAATATTGCAGCATATGCTTCTACATTGTAGTTGTAAGATTTGTGCCGTATAAAAGTCGTGCAAAGAAGTTGTAAATAAAGACAATACAATGACAATAAAATAAAATTTAGTAGATAAATATATCTTTATGAGG